CGCTCTTCCCCCGATTTATATTTAAAACAAAATAAAAAGATTACTGGAAAAAATAAAATAAAATATTTTAAAAACACCGAACAGAAAATATACTCATATCATTTTATCTTACCAGAAGAAAAAAATCTTAACAAACTATTATGAAATTGTTAATTTTAAATCAAACGGAGAATTATATGAGTATATTTTCTGGGAAAATATTCTCGTATCATCTTATCTTTCGAGGGAAAATAAATCTCAACAAACTATTATGAAATATTTATTTAAAATCATTTTTAATTATACTCGTATATACTTATCATATCAAAGAAAAAAAATCTTAACAAATCACCAAAAATATCTAATATTTGCGTTGATCGTAATCTTAAACATAATCAAAATTATTTCCCCGAAAAATATTCCTCGAATCTCACCCTCACCCTCACTATAAATACCACCGCATGACATCCATCTCGAATCGCATCCAAACGCATTTCATTTCTTATTTAAAAAAAACCGCTTTCTTCATCTCCAACCCACCAGAAGAAAAAATGAAAGCCCGAACTCTCCTGACCATTATCGTGACCCTCGTGGCATGTTCCGTCACTTGCAACGTTGCCGCGTCTGGTCAGAACGTGCAATGGTTCCCTTTCCCGTACCATCGTCACATAGGATGGCCATTCCTCGGAGGAGCCTTGCCGCCGATGCCTAGCAATCCGATACCGTTTCAGCCCGACCCGAAAGTGACAAAGTGCTTGTCCCACGGAGGAGAGATCGGCGCTTGCGTCGGAGAAATCGTCAGCTCGTTCTTCGCACGCAAGGCTGCGATCGGGCCGTTGTGCTGCAAAGCCGTTATGATGGTCGACGAAGATTGCGAGAACGCGGTTTTCGGATCTTTCCACAACCCTTTCTTCAATGCCTACATCAAGCAGCATTGTGCCAGCCAAGCTTCTCCGACTCCGGCATAGATTTTTTTATGAGTTTGTGTCGTGTAATAAAATAATATATCTGGCTTTGTTTTTTTTTTTTTGAGCTTTAATGCTAGTTAGAATTTGTGTAACTTCATTAGCTTTTCCCTCTTTTTTTTTTTGTTACACAATCATAAATAAGATTTCGTTTTGTTTTAAAATGCTTTTAGATCTGTTCTCATCCGGAAATCCCTTCGAATGTTTGCCGAAGTTATGAGAATGGGCTCTTGGGCTTATTCTTTGAAGGCCCATTTAGGGGATTATATTATTGGGCTCATATCATTGGCCCATCTAATCTAATCTAACCTTCTTAAAATCGAACAAGGATGTGTTATGAATTATACATGCCATATGGTATTGAAATAATTAGAAATTAATTTTTTTGGAATATTTCTTTCACCAAATTCACCAAATATTTCTTTCACCAAATTCAGTGCAATCTTGGAAGACGACATTATCTCCTCCGATCGCAACAAGAGATGCGGGAAAATCAACGAGAAAATGGGTTAAAAATGGGTTGACATTATCTCCTCCCATCTAAATTGGCTGGTCCATGGGTTCCAAACCTCTATTCTATCGGAAATCATTACGCATAGCAGTACACCCATGCACTGAATCATATAACCCATCTTTAGTTGACACTTCTCACAACTGATGGGTCAAAAGACCCGACTGAAAACCACAGTCGTTTCAAACCATGATATGCTCCTCGTCCTCATATTTGAGTACTTTTCTCTGAATTCCTTACCTTCGAAGACTGAATTCCAATCCTTGCGCACAAATCTCATCCTTGCCAGAGACTTCAGCGGAAGCCTTAGAAATATTTCCTCCACCACTTTCAATGCAATCTTGGAAGACGACATTTCGCAAACAAGATATACTGGAGAATCCGCCAGAAAATGGGCAGAAATCGTAAGAAAACGGGCTGACATTCGGAGAGAGTAGGGGTTTGGAAATATATGGCGCGAGTCCCTCGAGATCTTTGAAAATCAATAAATGTGCCAGGTTCACTGCGACTGTTCGCCGCTGTGACAATGGGCTCATGGGCTTATTTCTTTTAGACCCATTTAACATATTGCGTTAATGGACCGAGATGCGTTGACCCATCTAATCTAATCCTCCTATATTTTAATTTAATCCCGGTTGTGATTGGGATAATTTGAAATTAAGTTTTCCCCATTTACTTTTTATTTTATTTTTCACGAATTTTATTACTTTAAAAGTATTTATTTAAAGAATGCGATTTTATAAAAAAAAGTATATAATTGGATTGGGCTGGGCTGGGCCGAACAATTGGCCGCTCGACGTTACAATTACATGACCAAATAATGGCCCGTTGGAAAATTTAGAAAGAGATTAATATATGTTTAAAAAAGTAAAATAATAATTAATTACACTTGGATACTCTTTAATGGAAATTTAATGGACCGACAGATTCTTCGCAATGACGAATAGCGAAGGTATTTGTAGATTACCTTTTTTTGCTTGAATTTTTTCCCCTTTGCTTTGTTATATTATTGAATTTATCAAGTCCAAAAAGGTCGGATGATTTTTTTTAAATCTAAATATCTATCTACTAATATTCTCGTGGGTATTGGCTACCTGTTTTAAGGTATAGTTTTTTTCACGAAAATTAATAGATTAAATTAAAGTATAATTATATGCTAAAACTTTACATTCGAAAAATAGAATGTTGATTCAATTCCATTATTCTTTTGTTTGATTTCTTAAATGTAATTAAATATTATATTTATTTTTTAGATTCTATTTAAATTTAATTTGTATTGAAGATAATGTTTATTTTTTTAAAAATAAAATTATTTTATTTCCAAGTTTCAGTTATAATATTTAATTCAAATTAAATTAATTTGATTTTAGAAAAATGGTCTCCAGTAAAAAATTAGATTAGATTCCAAAATGATTATATTTTATTCCATTCTATTAATTTTTTTGTATAGTCTAATTAAATGCATATCCTAATAATCATTTTATCAAAAATCATAAATTATATTTTAATAGAGATATTTTTATAACATTAATTTCACAATTAATTTCTAAATTCATTTTATATAAAAAATGGCTCACATTATTTGTTTTTTCTTCTTCTTTAAGTTGCGGAGAATACGGAGAGAGATTCAATCGAAATGTTGCTGCATGTTGAGAAAGCATTAAATACCAATAAAAATAAATAAATAAAATAGCAATTATAATTTATAAAAGTAACATGAGATATTTGAGCTTTCGCCATGAATTTGTCATAATTTTGAATGTAAGAGTGGAGATGATGCACGATTATCTCCCTCATCTTTATCTCGAGGGTTTTGAAAGCCCAACTAAAAGTCTAACAAATTTTTACAATCAAATTGGAAATTTATAAATGCATATAAAATAAATGATTAACCAATCGATTATCTCGAATCATCGTATAAAATATTTTCGTCCTGTATATGAAATTGAGGGTTCGTATTAGGAATGTATCCGGACATTGGGATATTAAATGAATCCAACTCCAACAATACAATGTATTGACAACAAATAATATTTATTTCCTTGTGGTGTATATCTAAAAACGTTACCTTAAAAAGCAGCAAAACCACCATTACTAAAAAAAGTAGAAAATCCATAATGAGATACTGAGCCTTAAATGGGTTTAGTTGTTTTGTTTTTTTTTTTAAAAAAAAAAATTTAATTCCGGGGCTTTCACTTTATGTCCATAAATGACAATCACACGAAGTCGCGAAACCTAAACCGAGTTACTTTGCTTACAAAACACTGTCTATATAAATGGTCATAAAGTCGTGTGAAAGCAACTCACCTCTCGTCCCTTAGACAACAACAAAAAAAAAAAAAAAAAAAAAAAAAACAAGAGACAGAAATGGATTCTGGTGGTCGTGACGGTGCTTCGAGTGAGGAGCCCGGTGCCTCTTCCAACTCCGTCTCCAAGAAGAACAAAACTAATTATCATCGCCACACCACTCAGCAGATCCAGCGCCTTGAAGCGTATTTATTTTTATATATATATATATATATGATCTTCTTTTTTTCCCCTTAAATTTTCATAATTTTTGTATTAAATTATGAAATGATTTTCTGTGTTGAATTCGAAGTTATTTCAAGGAATGCCCTCATCCGGACGAGCATCAAAGGTGTCAGCTTGGTAAAGAGCTGGACCTCGAGCCCAAACAGATCAAGTTCTGGTTCCAAAACAAGAGAACTCAGACCAAAGTAATCTAATCATCTTCTGTAACGTCTACGGATTCAACCATTTTCTCGATTTTTTATTTATTTTTTTTTCTGATATTATATATATGTGTATACATACAATCAACCCATTTGATATGATTTTTTTTTTCAATTGAAAAAAAAAAGGCTCAAAATGAAAGGGCAGACAACACACTGCTCAGGACGGAGAACGAGAGGATACACTGCGAGAACCACGCGATAAAGGAGGCGTTGAGGAACGTGATTTGCCCTGCATGCGGCGGCCCCCCCTTCGGCCAGGAGGAACGCGATCACAGCCTCCAGAAACTGCGTTTGGAAAACGCCCATCTGAAGGAACAGGTACGACTCGACTCCGTTGAGCGATTGATCATATAATATGATACTCTTTCTAAGTTATAGTGTCATATAGAAATTAGAGGTACACATACTCATGCGTATATTGACATGTTCTTTTTGCAACACATTATTTTTTAATCTACTTTTGTTTTCTTATTCTTTAAACCTAGTTTTATCGAAATACAATTATATTTCATGTTATAATTCGATCGATCGTTAGGAATCGATCGAAGCGATCAATCATTAAGAATCGATCGGTTTCGATCTTAATATTTTTCTGGTATAATACAACTAAAGAATACAACATGAATGATTTCGTTCCGAAATCCTAACACTAACTAAATAGATTTCGATTCAAACGGATTTAGATCAACCGGTAAATGGGAACACAAAGTGTAATTCCATCCCGGGATCGAATCCCAATTAGGAAGGGGGTTTTCACATGGTTGACCTGATCCCGGGTTTTAGGGAGATATAATTAAACCTTGGTCTAATAAACTTTTTAATTATAAAAAAGAAACTAAATAAATTGTGGATGATGATGATGATTAAGTGAAATTTTGTGGGATGATGGAAAATAGTATAGAGAAATACATAAATCCGTCAGATAATAAACTTGTGAGCCACACATATATATATATATATATATATACTTTACTTTAGGACCAATCATATCTTATATTTAAAAGTATATTTATATTTTCTTTTTCTTTTTATTTATATACACACACACACACAAAAAGGACCAGCTGTGATTAAAATCTAGTCACAATTAATAATTCGGATACTAAAATAGTTAATGTCTATTAATTTTTTTTTTACTATCACATCAAAGATTTTGGTTTATTTTCTTGAATTTCGGTTTTGATTCATCATCTTGAATTCCTGTTTTAAAAAACTTATGATAATCCATTTTTATCAAATATATATATATATATATATATATTATCAAAACAACATAAGTGGTTTTTTTTTTCTAATAATAACATTAACTAAATAGATTGTGACCCCTGACTAGTTAGATCAACCGGTAAATGGGAATGCAAAACATAACTCCACCCCAGGATCAATCCCAATTAGGAAGGGAGTTTTCACGCGGTTGACCTGATCCCGTGTTTTAGGGAGATGTAACTAAATCTTGGTCTAATAAATTTTTTAATTATAAAAAAGAAACTAAATAGATTGTGGATGATGGTGATTAAGTGAAATTTTGTGGGATGATGGAAAATAGTATAGAGAAATACATAAATCCCTCAGGTAATAAACTTGTGAGCTAAACAGAAAAAAAATATTTTATCAAAACAACATAAATGATTTTTTTTTTCAAATAATAACATTAACTAAATCGATTGTGACCTCTAGCTAACGAGTTAGATCAACTGGTAAATGGGAATGTAAAGCGTAACTCCAACCTAGGATCGAATCCCAATTGGGAAAGATGTTTTCACATGGTTGACCTGATCCCGAGTTTTAGGGAAATGCAATTGGATCTTGCTCTAATGAATTTCCTAATTTTATATATATATAGAAAAGAAACTAAGTATATTATATGGCGACATTAAGTGAAATTTTGTGATATGATGAGAGAGAATATAGAGAAATACATAAATCCCTTAGGTATTAATACTTTGAGCCAAACAAATTTTTTTTAATCAAAACAACATAAATGATTTTTCTTCAAATCATAACATTAACTAAATAGATCGTGAGTTAGATCAACCGGTAAATGGGGACGCAACGTGTAACTCCATCCCAGGATCGAATCTCAATTGGGAAAGGGTTTTTCACATGGCTGAATTAATCCCGGATTTTAGGGAGATGTAATTGGATTTTGGTCTAATAAACTTCCTAATTATATATATATGGTATTATAGAAAATAGTATAGAGAAATATATAAATCCCTTAGGTAATAAATTTTTTAGCCAAATAGAAAAAAATACATTTTATCAAAACAACAATAAATGATTTTTTTTTCAAATCATAATTTAAATTGTATAGATTGTGCCCCCAAATGAGTTAGATCAACATGTAAATGGAGATGCAAAGTTTAACTCCACTCTGGGATCAAATCCCAATTGGGAAGGGGGTTTTCACATGACTGATCTGATCTCGGGTTTTAGGGAGATATAACTAGATTGTGGTCTAATGAACTTTAAAAAACTAAATAAAATTATGGATGGTAACCATTAAGTGAAATTTTGTGGTATGATGAGGATGAGAAATCGTATACAAAAATACATAAATGTCTCAGGTAACATAAACTTTTGAGCCAAAGGATATATATTGTGCTCTAACATCTAACATTGAGAGTCATAGAGATAAGCCTTTCTTTATATCTACCATATTGTCTGTAGAGTGCTATAACATTGAAAAACACAAGAAAACTCATTATGATTACTAATTTGTGTTTTTTTTGGTATGCATATATATGATTGCAGCTAGAGAAAGTATCGGATCTCCTATCAAAATACATAGGCAAACCAATTTCTGTCATGGACTCCAGAGCATCCTCTTCATCTCATGAGCCACTTCCACCGTCCTTGGCCCATCAAATCCCACCCAACTTCTCCTATGGAAGCTCCTCCAACAATCCAGAACCTTCCGACAATCATCGTCGTCATCATCTTCTTCCTCATCTCCATCATCATCCTCATGTTTTCTCAGACCCCATCAACAACAACAACAGCAACAGTGCACAGATTCCAGCCGCACCAGTCCAAGTCCAGCAGGCACTGTCCGATCTTGAGAAGGTGATGATGTCCGAAACAGCGGCTGGTGCGATTGAGGAACTCGTAAGACTGTTTCACATCGACGAACCTTTATGGATCAAGTCTTCTATCGATGGAAGAGTGGTCGTCGACCAAGAACACTACGAGAACTTCTCTCAGAGACATACCCATTTCAAGACTTCTAGTGCTCGTGTTGAATCTTCCAAGGAGGTGGCCGTGGTTCCCATTGAGGCCAGAAGCTTGGTCGACATGTTCCTGGACTCGGTACTATAATCGTACATTCATTTTTGTTGCTTTTAGGTTTTATGGTCGAAGTTACTTATTATACGTGCGTATGAAATGTTAATGTTGTAGGAGAAATGGGTGCAGCTCTTTCCGACAATTGTCAACAGAGCAAAAACAATCCATCTCCTTGAATCCGCAGGCCCTATGGAACAAGTTGGTTCCGTACAGCTGGTCTCTCTCTCTTTCTCTCTCTCTCTATATATATATATCCACATACACATATTATAGATACAAGATAGTTGGGTATTTGATATCATTGTTTTAGGTAGATTTGATTGGCAATTATTGATATAATCTTTACACTATATATACACCATATATACATGCATAAGAAACTTTTATGTTCAAGTATTTTTTTTTTATTATTATCATGGCATACATATGGTCATGTAGTGGCTGAGAGATTTGAGTAATTACATATGGTTGTGTGATGGTGATGATGCATGGATGAAGATGTACGAGCAAATGCACATACTGTCGCCATTGGTGCCGCCGAGAGAGTTCTTGATAGTGCGGAGCTGCCAACTAGCGGAAGAAGGGATGTGGGTGGTTGCTGACGTGTCATATTACCTCAGGGACTTCGACTTCGTCTCTTCTTCCAACTGTTGGAAACGCCCGTCCGGCTGCATCATCCAAGACTTGTCCGACGGTCACTCCAAGGTTCATTACCTTGCCGTTTTTATTTTTCGTTTTACAACCTTTTTTTTTAATAATTGGTAACAAGACGGTGTCGAACCTGGGGTGGGTGGCTCTTTGAGTGCTCGTTTCACCGGTTGATCTATCCGCGCTTGGGCTCGTTTTACAACTTGCGTAAACGTTTTTATAGTTGAATTATGTTTGTATATAAGCAATCTATATAATAATGATAATAATAGTGTCGTATATAAGGAAAGATTTTGGGATGGTGGGCAGGTGACATGGATAGAGCATGTGGAAGTGGATGACAAAGCGCACACACATCGTCTCTATAGGGACCTCTTATGCGGTGGCTCTGGATATGGAGCTCGTCGTTGGATCGTCACTCTTGAGAGGACGTCCCATAGATTTGCTCTCTCCAATCTTAACAATATCCCCACTACCGATTTCGGTGCAGGTAACAAATGATATATAGTCTTTTTATTTCCATATGAAACTAGCTTAAATTCCGTATGTGGTGGTCGAGTGGTTGTATATAGAGGTTGGTCTGGAGATCACCTGTCTTAGAGATTCCATGTTCGAACCAGAAGACGAGAGAGGAGAATACAATTTAATTGTTTTATCGGCTCTCTACATATTTAGAGAAACTAGTTAGATCAAAGATACGATAAATTTTATAGTTAACAAAAAAACTAGCATAACGTTTCATGCTAAAATGTTAAGTCATATATAAATGTCGAGATTAGTCAGGTTACAATGCTAAAAACCCGTTTCTTCATGTGGAGTATAAATTTGTGATATATTTCTATCGAATAATTGTATTGGTACAAGCACATCAATCTGTCCTTTTGATCACATGCCATATATAAACATAATATATTTGAGAAAACGTACGGAATGCAGTGATATCGTCGGGAGAGGGAAGAAAGAGCATGATGAAGTTGGGACAGAGGATGCTGAAGAACTTCACGGGGATGCTGAGCATGTCGGGGAAGCTTGACTTCCCGCAGTTGTCGGAAGTGAACAACAGTGGAGTTAGGGTCTCCGTACGGAAAAGCATGGAGGCTGGTCAACCCTCCGGCGTCATAGTCAGCGCCGCCTCTTCCCTCTGGCTCCCTCTCCCTCCCTCCAAAGTCTTCAACTTCTTCCGTGACGTCCACCTTCGTCATCAGGTCCCTAATTTCATTGCCATCTCTATATATATCATCTTTTTCATATGACTAACATTGAATTTAAACCCCTGCTATTATATCCTATGATCTAAACTGATTAGAAAAGCACTTTTTTGTATGTTCTTCAAATCGGCGTTTGCGTTGTAACAGTGGGACGTTCTATGCCATGGAAACGCGGTTGCGGAGGTCGGTCGCATCCTCTGCGGTCCGGACGAAAACAACTGCGTCACCGTTCTTCGGGTACATATACATACATACATCATTCATTTCCTCGATCCCTTATATTATTATTTATTTATGGTTATAAATTTATAATAACAATTAACTTTTTTTTACAAAAAATAATGTCCTCTTGTTATAAATGTGTATATTAGCCGTTCATTCCGACGGAGAGCGGAATGCTGATGCTACAAGAATCGTTCATGGACTCGCTAGGAGGCATGATGGTGTACGCACCTATAGACATACCGACCATGCACGTGGCCGTCAACGGCGACGACCCCTCCGCCGTTCCCATCCTCCCTTCCGGCTTCATCATCTCCCGCGACGGCCGCTCCTCCCCCGTCACCGTCGAAGGGTCCACGCTGCTCACGGTGGCATTCCAAATACTGGTCTCCGGCCCAACTTACTCGAGAGACCTCAACATGGAGTCGGTGGCCACGGTCAACACCTTGATCAGCTCCACCATCCAACGGGTCAAAGCCATGCTCAACTGCGTCGATCTTGAGTGACGTCATCTCATCTATCAACGCGGAGAGAGAGGGTTATATCCGTCTTTTTATGTTTTGGTTGTGTGTCGGCATTTTTTACCGGTTATATTCGGTCCTTTTTATATTGTGTAATAATTCTTGGGCTGATGAAAACTTTTGCTCGGTTTATGGTTTATGAATGTATTTCGTCGTGCGTTGAAACCACGCAACGACGTCGTTTTCGGCCTTTGTTTTTTTATAATGACAATTCTCTTTTTTGGGCTTTTTTTTTTAATAAATTTATTTTCCCATTAAAATTTAAAATAACAAATTTAAAGAGAATATTCGATGGGATTTAAATTTTAAATGGGAGAAATCTGGACGGACTTGCACGCTGCCAGATTTTAGTTTTCGATTGGCAGTGGCGAAGAGAAGACAACGGACATTTTTTGCGGACACGCGCATCGTCAGCACTACTCCTCACAATCCTCTCCGAGGTATAAATATCTCCCCTTGCTTTAATTCCAGAACAATCTTCATTCGCAAGCCCTTTTCATCCCCCTCACTCCTCCTCGTTCTCTCTCTCTCCCTCTCTCCTTCTGTGGATCTGAAGCTCTCATCGGTATTCACCCATGGCCGCAGCAACCGAGAAGCTCTCCCACCTCAAGTCCGCCGTGACCGGTCTTGATCAGATCAGGTTCGTCTTTCTTTTTTGTCTGTTTTCCTTCTTCTTCTGTTCCTGTGATTTGCGTTGCCGATCCTTTGGATATCTTTTTCGTTGTCTGCATGGAGAATTGGATGGATCTTGACGGCTTCGGATCTTGGATCTGGTGTTTCTTCGTTATCTAGACTGATCTGCTTCCTTGTTTCAGTGAAAATGAGAAGACCGGATTCGTCAACCTCGTTTCCCGCTACGTGAGGTTCGTCTCTTCTTCCACAACTTCCAATTGTTTCTTGCGGTTTTTTTCTTTGATTTGATTGATTTCTTTCTGTAGTTATTCTCTGGAACAAATAATTTTCATTGCTCTTAATTCTTGGAAATATCCGGAAAACCTTGCGACCAGAGGGTATCTAGAGTTGGTTTTTTCTTATTTGTGTTTGTTTTGTCGGCTTTTTTATTCGTGGACGTAAGTTTAGACCGATAAATGGGATCGGATCGGATCTTAGATATAGATCTGGATTGGTCGAGGTTACTATCCCTCTGGGGAATAGACTTTTACTTTCCTTGGGTGTCTGTGGGCTTATGAGTTGGAGTTGTAAATTTACTGATTGTATCTGCATTTGAAGTGGTGAGGCCCAGCACATTGAATGGAGCAAGATCCAGACACCTACTGATGAAATCGTCGTTCCTTACGACAAATTGGCCCCTATCTCCGAAGGTAGTGTCTCATAATTGTGTTAATCTTGTTTGGCTGTCTGCTGTACTAGATTTTTTTCCCTACAGATCATTAAACACCCTTTCAAATAACACGATTTACTTTATTTTCCACAATAATGAAGATATTTCTGAGACCAAGAAGCTATTGGACAAGCTTGTTGTGCTTAAACTTAATGGAGGTCTTGGGACGACAATGGGATGCACTGGTCCTAAGTAAGCTCTTCTGTCTGATGTCATCATCTTTGTTCTTGTAGTCCAGTCTCTTTTAGATTAAAAAGGACGATTCTCTCTTCTCTCAGTGTTGATCGTGTTTTTCCTGGTCTGAAGATTTATGTCGTTGTGCCCAACTTTTCTGTTGACAGCATGGTTTGCTGATATATTGCATGCCGCATTTTGCTCCTTTCTTCATTCTTGTTTATTGTTTCCTTTTCTCCCATGCAGATCTGTCATTGAAGTGCGTGATGGTTTGACATTTCTCGACCTGATTGTTATTCAGATTGAGGTCCATCTTCTTTCTCGTCTTTCAGTCCCTATATATTGTTTATCCTAATTTGAATGCAGTCCCATAACTCCATATTTCACTTACCACAGAATCTCAACAACAAGTATGGTTGCAAGGTTCCTCTAGTTCTGATGAACTCGTTCAATACACATGATGACACACAAAAGGTACTGCAGTCTCACAGTAGTTCTCCACTTCTTTTCATTTTGCAAAAGTTTGTAACTTTGTATTATTGTTGTGGCTGACTTTGTTTTATCTCGTTCAGATTGTGGAGAAATACACCAACTCCAATGTTGACATTCACACATTTAACCAGGTTTGTGATATCACATCAAGCTAGCAAAATAAACTGCCAACATTTGAGCAGCTCTGACAAATATTGCCATTAACGTTGTTGAGTTTTTTTAAATATTATAGAGCAAATACCCCCGCATTGTTGCTGATGAGTTTCTGCCATGGCCCAGCAAAGGAAAGACTGACAAGGATGGCTGGTATGGTTTCATCTGGGTGTACTCTTAGAATCAGAAAGCAGTACTATTGATCTTTGTTCTTCTCTATTACGAAAAATCCTCAAAACGATCCCATCTGGATCACTATAATTAGTTGCTGAACAACTCGTGCCAAATTTCTTGTGGTGGCTGGTTAACCAAATGCTGTAATCCTTTTGGGGTTGATTTAGTTGTCGATTTTATTGAATTCCATATATCCAATGTCATCCCAGTCTCACAGTTATGGGTTTCTTTTACTAGTTCTTTCTGCTAATAACAATCTATCCTTCTGAAGGTATCCTCCTGGCCATGGCGATGTATTCCCATCGCTGATGAACAGTGGCAAGCTTGACACTTTCCTGTCGCAGGTTATATTCTTTTACTGTATTCTATTACAACTTTTTCGAGCATTTGTCGTTGATGTCTAAGTTATCCGATGGTTATCATTTTATTCCCTCTTTTCTGTCTGTTCAGGGAAAGGAGTATGTGTTCGTTGCCAATTCGGACAACTTGGGGGCTATTGTTGACTTACGTATCCTCAGTGTTCTTCTTATATCACTCATTTCCTCAATGTAGAGAGACTAATTCTCATGTTACGTCCTTGACTTTATGCTACTTTAGAAATCCTGAACCACTTGATCCAGAACAAAAATGAGTACTGTATGGAGGTTACACCCAAAACCCTTGCTGATGTGAAGGGAGGCACTCTCATCTCTTATGAAGGCAAAGTTCAGGTAAATTCTTGGATGTGTCCTTTGCTGTTTTAGAATTTTTCCCTTTTGGCATGATTATCAGCATAACTGCTAAATAAATTTGGTAGTTTGCCAACGGTAGATTGTATAATAACCTGTGGATGTATTTTGTTGAATAAATGTCAAGAAGTTATATTTTACCTTTTCATTCCCTGTTTCTCATGGCAACATAAAGCTACTGCAATGCTTATTTGTCTCATGTTATTAAAGTTCCTTATTACATATAGGACTTCAGGGATCTGTACATGGACTTTGTGGCTCAATATTCTTCTTTCTTCATGATTTTATACTTGTTACTGGAGAACCTAAAGCAATTTTATTGACCCCTGAAATTAATTTTTTCTTATGTCTCAGCTCTTGGAGATTGCTCAAGTTCCCGACGAGCATGTAAGTACATAGCTCTTCCATTCCTTCTATAAAAATGATTTCCAGTGTTGTATTGCTGTGAATGAAATGAGACTGCATGTATTGGGCCTATGTGGACCAGCTGAGAATTATTTTCTTGTGTGGTTGCAGGTCAACGAGTTCAAATCAATTGAGAAATTCAAGATATTCAATACGAACAACCTGTAAGTGGTTCCAATTCCTAAAATGTCAAAAGATATAAATTTATGTGCGGATCCTAACAATTAGTTGACTTCTACAGATGGGTTAACTTAAAAGCGATCAAAAGGCTTGTCGAAGCTGATGCGCTTAAAATGGAGATCATCCCGAACCCAAAGGTGCTCACTTAATGAAAACAGAGTTTTTTTTGTTTGTTTGTGCAAATGGCATAGTTATCTAACTGATTTGCAAGTTTGGGGTTTTTCTCAGGAGGTAGATGGAGTCAAAGTTCTTCAACTGGAAACTGCAGCTGGTGCTGCTATAAGGGTATATTCACTATCCTAGCATTCGTTAGACTCGATTCAAAGCATGAAACTCTTATCTTCTTTTAACAATTTGTTCTCGTCTTTCTTCCACAGTTCTTTGACAATGCAATTGGTATCAATGTACCTCGTTCACGGTTCTTGCCAGTGAAAGCAACCTCAGACTTGCTTCTTGTTCAGGTTCCCTTTTTTCCCACAGTCACTATTAACGATTAAAAGAGTGCCTGCGAGTTGGAATTCTTGCATAACGCTTTCACTCATCTTTTACAGTCAGATCTCTACACCCTAACTGACGGATTCGTCATCCGTAACAAAGCTAGAACCAACCCATCAAACCCGTCGATTGAATTGGGACCCGAGTTCAAGAAGGTGAAGAAGATCATCTCCTGAATACGACCTGATGCTTTTGAAACGGTTTTTGGGGACTCCAGTTTCACTAATTTCAATTATCTTTTTGTTTTTTTCCGGCAGGTCTCCAACTTCTTGGGCCGGTTCAAGTCGATCCCGAGTATTGTGGAGCTCGACAGCCTTAAGGTTTCCGGTGATGTCTGGTTCGGCTCGGACGTTGTTCTCAAGGTATCATGAAATCGTCAACCCCAAACAGCTTAGCTCCCTAACTTTTGGTGTCTTCCCAAAGTCTACGAATCTCTGTTTAAACACATATGGGGAGACATCCTTACTAACGATCCCTTTCAAATTTTGAAGGGAAAAGTGACAATCACGGCTAAACCTGGGACAAAGCTCGAGATCCCGGACAAGGATGTGATCGAGAACAAGGTAACTCAGTAAACCCGTTTAATCGGATGTTTATTCGTTCCCTGGACTCATTTGTCGTGTTCTTACAGGACATCAATGGTCCCGAGGATCTGTGAAGCAGAAGCTTGACCCTTTTGGAGGTAACAGAGTTGTGGTAAATTTATGAAGAGAAAATAAACGGTGTTTGCTGCTCCGCGAAAGTCTTCTATTTTGTGTCTTTTATCGCAGTTGTTGTGGAAATTTTTGTTGATGATAAGTTCACAATGGCGAAACTTACTCTTGGTTCCAGAAATCTCCGAATTGAATTATGAAGTGAAAATTTACGGGTACAGATAGAATGTAGTCAAGAGCTTTTCATTGCCAAATACGGGTACAGATAGAATTTAATTTATGGCCCGAAAGAATAACAAGTATACATACATTATATATGTAGTCGAACTATTTTAAATTAATTTTCTTTTGTGTGGGTGTGTGTATATATATATATGTTTTATTTATTCTCAAGAGTGTGTATTAGTGCCACGTGGCGGTGGCTGTATTTAACGTGAGCCACAAGATTCATCTGTCTCGACTCGAGCGTTTCATGAAACTCGATTATTTAAGGAAAAAAGAGAAAAAATGGGAAATTGGGGAAAAGCGCATATAACTGAAGCTGACGTGGCATCCCCTTTCTTCGTCTTATTTCACGTCTTCACCGAACCTTGTTTTTTTAAAAAAAAAATTGGGATATGCGTTTAACTAGGGTTCAAATCAAACCCTGTTAATGAAACAACCCTCTACGTAATTCCTTTTTATCTAAAGTTGATTTAGAGACCAACAAAGATTAATCTAGATATATAAAATTTAAAAAAAAATATCGATTTATAATTGAACACCATTCAGAATATGCCGTATATATAAAAAAATTTGGGATATTTTGGTATTTAGGTTTTAAATGGTAATAGTTTTTATTTTGAATTTTTTGCTTTAGTTTTTAGTTTTTGGGTTTTAGTTTTTGGTGTTTGTCTTTTGAATTTTATAAGTTTGTAAATATAAAAAAATTGTGACTTTTGGTTTTTAGTTAATTTTTTTTATATAAAGTAAATTTCTGGGATTTTAAGAAAACCAAAATTTAAAAAATTTGATTATCAATTTTTTCAATTTTTAAAATAAAAAAACTCCCAAAACACTTTCCATTCATCACCTTGGTTATTTGATGCTATGATGTCTCCTGTAGATATATCGACAACTTTTTCATCAAAATATGCAAAAATTAACATTCAACTATTATATATAAAGAAAGACGAGAAAAGATTTTCTCAAGTAAATAACAACTACTAGCTCGGTGCTTTGCTTCGGCGACAATGTAAAGCAGAGGGGGTGAAGATCTTTCGCGGTCCCTTTTCGAGTAGGGGTATTTCCGTAATTTTAAGACGAACCGACAAACAGAGAAAAAGCTAAGGTTCCCCTCATAGTAACGATGAGGACAAAACCATCATTAAACCCTCTTAAAATCACTATCTCTCTCTCTCTCCGTATCCGGAGAAATGCGACTGCTCCTCCTCGCACTCGCGCTCCTCCTCCTCGCTCTTCCACCTCCGGCGACCTCCCACTACTCCTCCTCCTCTTCCTCTCCCTCCTCCTCCTCCGCCGCTTCCGAGTGGCGCTCCGCCCGCGCCACGTACTATGACGCTTCCGATCC